AAAGTGATTTTTCTAAAGATAGGAAAATTATGGCACAACAGGAAGTACAACGAAAAGGGAAGACTCAAGTCCCGGAGTGGTCGTTCGATAATTTGAGACATGTGAATTTCTAAATCTTTGTTAAGTGTATGAAATTCGTGTATTTCCTTGTAATATGTGTTTGGGGGTAATGAGACTTGGTGATGGGTTGACTTGTCCATATTGATCAATTCTAATGATGAAAAAGGGGTAAAAAAAGGCAATGTGATTAATTGTTTGTAAGTGATATGTTAAGAATGGTTTGAAAGGCTTGTTGAATCATTGTTGATGTTGTATCATGATTGTGTTGTTGTGAATTGTGCAATGTTATGAAAATGGTCATCTCCTTATTATTTGTGTGAACATGTCATTTGCATTGTTCTGAGACATGGTTGTGACAAGTGTTATGTGAATTGAGAAAAAATAAGAAATTAAAGAGGATGTATCATTTCGAGAGACGTATCACGCGCCTCGAGGGACGTATAGTAGTGACAAGTGTTATGTGAGAAAGAATGAGTAAGAAATTAAAGAGGATGTACCATTTCGAGAGACGTGTCGCGCGCATCGATGGATACTATATTTCAAGGGACGTATCGCAGCCGTAATGATTACTATTATCGAGGATCGTATCGCACGCCGCGATGGATGCATTGACAGATGTGTCCCCCATGGGTCCCGGACTGAGAGACAACGGGTGTGTATCACTATGTCAGATATGCATTACTATACTTGACATTGCATTCCATTACATTGCACATTTTTATTATTGATGAACTTGATCTTGTGTGTTGCTGATATTGTGAGTGCCTTTTTGTGGAAGTTGTGATTGATGAATATTGAGTTTGTTGTTGAGGATATGTAATTTGTTAAAGTGATTGTTGTTGAGCTGAGTGTTATGTAAACTGTGAACTGTTAGGTTGGACTAATTTTATGCATGTTGTAGTTATGGAGGTTCGGTTGGTGTGTAAGGAGTACCCGTATTCTATCCCCTTAATTTGTGTTTAGAAGTTTACTTGTTGAGTACCGTATGGTTTGGTACTCACCCCTTGCTTCTACATATTTGTAGATTACTAGCCCGGACCTTTGTGATATTTTCTTTTCTCTTTGTCTGAGGCTTCTTATTGAGGTTTGTGAGGTAGCTGCTTGTCATTTCAGCGGACCTTCTTACTCCTATTTATGATCTTGTTCTATTCTAGAAACAGTGTCATTTGAGACTTGTGTTTTTCTTTTGAATCAATTGTAATACTTTAGAGGTTTGTACACGTGACAACCATATTTTGGGGGTATTTTTGAGTTTATTATAAAGTTTCCGCATTTTATTGTAATGGTTGAATTTTAGGCTGACTTGTCTTGGTGGGATAAGACGAGTGCCATCACGTCAATTTTTGGTCGTGACATTATTTTAGTCTTTAATGTCTTTTTATCCCGGTAAAGCTAATTAATGTGTTTTTTTACAAGTGTAATTCCACACTAACTGTATTCTCTCCAACATTCAACACACCTCATGTTCACTCCTGTTTTCATCGCACCACATCTCATCTCCAAAAATATTATTTGAGATTATACACAATGTTGTAAATATATTTATGTGGATATCTATAAATTCAAAGCGTAATTACATCATATTGTATAGTAACTCCTACACCTTCATAATCTTCCTTCTTGATATTTCTCTATAACTTACATGGTTAATGTCTCCATAACTTTCATGTTTATTATTAATTTTTTGTATGCCTTTATGTAATACTATAAATAGAGGCATTAAAGTTTATATTGAATATACTTGAAAAAAATAAGAAAAACTTTCATCTCTTGTCTCCCTATTTCTATTGCTCTCATCTTCTATATTTCTTTATCTTATTTTACTTTAATTTCGCAACAAGACTATTTTTTCCCTTAGATATCGAACACACCAAAATAATATGTAACATGGTTAACGTGGCCGAATAATAAAACTTGTATGGTCCAAGAACTCATGGCTGGCATTTGTCTCAATTTTCACCAAAACTGTTGTGTTCTTTTATTCCCTCCGTTCTTAATTGTTTGTTCACTTTTGAATTGAAATATCAATTAAAAAAATAATTATTAACATAGTGAGTTTACCATTTTATCTCTATTAATTATAAAGTAGATGAATTAAAAATTTAAGGTTTTCAAAAAATTATATTTTTTCAAAGTAATTAATTGAGGATATAATAGATAAAATAAATTTATCCTTTTTTAATTTATCAAATGAACAAATAATTAGAATCAATTAAAAAGAAAAAAGTGAATAAATAATTACGGAGGAAATACTATCCATGATAGTGCAAAAAGTTGACCCGGCTCTAAGTTCAATAGTAGTGGTTGTGTGCACTCAATCATTGCACTATAATTCATTAATATAGTATTCTTTTTATTATTATATTAAATCACTTGACAATAATAAATTAATTAGTTCATTGATACTGATAAGTATTTACCTTCTTGTGTTTTATGACTATACGCCAAAAACTTTTGTATCGAAATATGAGTTTGGAATCAAAAGAGCAATAAAAATTTTTGAAAATTTTAAAATGGCAATAAAATTATTTATCAAATTAAAAGGACAATAAATTTTAACACCGTTATGAAAGGCGCTCGCCTTTCGCTTTTGGCAACAAGGCGAGGCGAGACGAAGGGTCATCGCCTATTTCCGGCAAGGTGAGGCGACTTCAAAAAGGCGTGTCATGGCGACGGAAAGGCGTAAGGTGACGTGGTGTGGCGATGCAATAGGCATCGCCTTTTTATTTTTTTATTTTTCTTAAGGTCTGACTTAATAATTATAGGGGTGTGCACTATTCGGATTAAACCGAATAACCAAACCAAATCAAATAAAATATTTATTTGGATTGGTTTTTTGGTTTTTCGGTTTTTCGGATTGGTTTTGGATTAATAAATTACTTTGTTTGGTTTTTTGGTTTGATTTCGGGTTTTAAAATATAAAAACTGAAAAAAAACCAAATTATATATATATATATAAAATGTTTAGGTTTAGAATTAAGTTGGAGTTAACCACTTTTGTCCATTTTTGGTTATTGCCTTTCATGATGATTACGTTTACTATATTTTATGTTTGAATTACATCTATAATAGGTATACTTATAAGTATTGTATTTTAAGTTTTACTTATGATTTATATTAGAAAGTATATTAAGGGATTAATTATTATTACTTTGGTTATGTTATTAATTATTGACATAACCGAATAACCAAATCAAACCAAATTTATTTTGGATCGGATTGAGTTACACTTTTACAAAACCTAAAAACGAAAAATCCAAACCGAATGCACACCCCTAAATAATTAAAAGCCAAAATTAGGGCTTTTTTTTGGGTATTTTTGCAAACTTGACCTTCGCAAGACGCTCCTCCTATTCTCCTCAGATTTCGCGATTGTTGCTTTTTCGTGGAGACTTCTTCTTCGCGAATCGCAATCGCGACTGTTGCTCCTTCTTAGGTACGAAATCTTCTCTCTAGTTCTGCTCTTCTTCTCTTCTAGTTCTTCTCTACTCTCTAGTCACTACTCTGTTTTTTTGTGCGGAACTACTCTGTTTTTTTTGGGTGGAACTTCTCTGTTTTTTAGTATTTAGAGTTTGAGACTATGCTCGGTTCTGTACTTCTGTGGTAGACTGTAGTGCTCTGCTCACTGGACTGGAATCTGCCTATATTTTTTTTTTAAAAATAATCTTTCTATAATTATTTATTCCCTACTTAATTTAATTTTATACTAATTAATATAGTATTTATTTGTCCATAAATAGTGAATTCATGGCGTCGGATGCTAACAAAAAGAGGGACGTTGCTAATGAATGTTATTGTTATTGAGATTTTGGATATTTATATATGCAATTAAATATTTTACATTTTTGGTATTAATTGGCGCCTCAATTCAAAAAGGTGAGCGCCTCGCCGCTCGCCTCGCCGTGAGGTGAGGCAGGTCCTTGTCGCCTCTCGCTGTCCAAAACACTGAATGTCTCCATAACTTTCATGTTTATTACTAACTTTTTGTATGCCTTTATGTAATACTATAAATAGAGGCATTATAGTTCATATTGGATACACTTGAAGATTTAAGGAACACTTGAATACTTGAAAAAATAAGAAAAACCTTCATCTCTTGTCTCCCTATTTCTATTGTCTCATCTTCTATACTTCTTATCTTATTTTGGTTTAGTTTTGCAATACACAAATAATTTTAAGATAATAATTTTTCCTTGCATATCGAACCCAATAAAATAATATGAAACATGGCTAACGTGGCCGAATAATAAGACTTGTATGATCCAAGAACTCATGGCTGGCATTTGTCTCTCAATTTTCAACCACACTGATGTGTTCCTTGACTACCATGATAGTGCAAAAAGTGGACCTCTAAGTTCAATAATAGGTGGTTGAGTGAGTGCATGTCCTTCGGAATGGCTCATTTGGTTTGGAGGGTGGTTATTCACACGGATGACCTAGGATCGATCCCCCTCAATGCCTTTTGAGTCGAGCCTGTCGCATAGGGCTTGCCTAGTACGGTTTACATCCCCTGTGTGGTTTGCAAGCTATTACACAGTGGGGGTTTACCCAGTGCGCACAAAGTGCTCACCCGAAGGGCAAAGACTGTGACAGAGGTTGTAGTGGCTGAGAGTTATCCTGGGGTTCCAAAAATAAAAATAAAAATAGTGGTTGAGTGTCAAATTAGTACCTAATCACACTCTATCATTTACTACTCCATAATTCATTACTATAGTTTTATTATTATTATTATATTAAATCACTTGGCAATAATAAATGAATTAGCTTATTGTTACTTATAAGAATTTACCTTATTTTCTTTTACGACTATATGCCAAAAACTTTTGTATCAAAATATAAACTCTCGAGTCTCACCTATATATATACTTTTATTAATGAATACTACTGTTTAGTTTTTCTTTCTTTCTTTTACACATTCAAACACTCAACAAATTCATACTATGGCTGAAGCTTCCAACTTCCTTTCAAGTCAGCGGTAAGTACTCAATTTCACTACTTTTTAAATTGATTTGTCACTCAACTAATAGAGTTATTATTATCAGTTTTCTTCTTGATGATTCCAATTTTGACTTTTTGAGATAATAATTATCGCACAATGAACATATTATTTTAATTTCTTATGATTTGGATTAATTTGTTGTTACCAGGATTGCAGTTGTGAGTGGAGGCAACAAAGGGATAGGATTAGAAATATGTAGACAACTAGCATCAAAGGGGATAGTGGTGATTTTAACAGCAAGAGATGAGAAAAAAGGGAATGAAGCTGTTATTGATATGTTAAAGATGTATGACCACCCAAATTATAATGTCATTTTTCATCAAGTTGATGTGACTGACATTTCTAGTATTGCAAGACTCAAAGATTTCATCAAGGATAGATTTGGCAAACTTGATATCTTGGTATTTCCCCTTCCACTCCTTTTTCGATTTTTCTTTCTATAGAATTGAGTCCAAAGCTTTAAAAAAACAACAAAAATCTATCGCTAATCCTATTTAATAATGAATTGACAATAGATTATTGAAAAATTATGTAACTATGACGGGTTATGTAGAGACAGATTATTTTTTTAAAAAGTGTTTTTTACTGGCTATTTGGTGATAGATTAGCGATGAATTTTGTAGATGGTGTATTTGGTATTAAAGAAAATAATTTCAATGAAAAATGTTTTCTAAAAAAATAAGTGGGTTTTCATAATTATTTTCTTGTGTAAATAAGCAAAAAAAAAGGATTATCCTAAAAATCATTGGTATAATGATATTTCAGACAAATATTATGGGTGGTGGGAGTTGAGCGAAGATGTATTGTGTTGGAGGGTTGGAGGACACAATCAATATGGAATATGATTATGAAATTTATTTTTCCTACCTCTATTAGACAAGTCATTTTTCTCATTTTTACGAAGTTATTTTCCTAATCTCAATTTTCTTTAGAATTTTGTGTTTGCTTAATAGATTCATGAATTTTCTTAAGAGTCATTAATTTCTAAATAACCTAAACAGGTGAATAATGCGGCAATTCTTGGAGTGCTTTTGGATAAAGAAGTTATTATAAGCCCACAAGTAAGTGACTCTTAATTTGCTTATATTATTAACTAGTTAATCAAACTGTGCTTCGCACGATCATATTTTTCTATATTAATTGATATAAAATATTAAGAAATTACAATACTAATATATATATATATATATCAACGGATCGAAAATAACAATAAAAGAAAAAAATAATAGAATTAAATTAGTTTCAAGAAAAATAAAAAGAGAATTCTAATTTTTCCTTGAAACAATACAAAGACATATTTCTTTATGCGCCAATTTTATACACGTTGCTATCTCATTTTTGGGTGTTTTACATTATTTATGTTACTAGTGAACTTCTCTGCGCTTCGCGCGGTTATAAAGAGTGATAAATTTTTGATAATTTTATTAAATATAATATTGATGTAAGAGAAAAATGTTTGATGAGTACACATATCTTTCGAGTTCTTATGGACGTCCACTCCCACAAGCCGATCACCAATAAAAATGCAACATCATTCTTAATTCCTTACTCATTAAAAAATAGAAGGAAAAATATGAAATTAGTACACATATCTTTCGAGTTCTTATGGACGTCCACTCCCACAAGCCGATCACCATTTTTCATCTTATTCTTCAAAATCAAATTAAAATATGAATATTATAAGCACCGAAAATATAACAACCTAAAAACCTAATGTGATCTTCTATAAAATCTTACAATGATTTTATTTACAGGGCTACTATATGAAACACCAAATAATATGATGAATATGACTATTAATTATTTTATAGGTCATAATAATAAAAAGTTGTGTGGAGTAATTAATGAAAATAAATACAAATTAAGTTTTACATTTAACATATTCTAAAAATGTCTTTTTAATTTCTTTGCAATGCACATTTAATATAATTAACAGTTAAATATTTTTTAAATTCTTTTAATATAGCACATAAATAAAAAGGAAATCTAAAAAAAAATATAATTGTATTTCTTGACCAAAGAAAAATATCACCCTCACTTTTTCTCTTTCTAACTGTTTTGTGGTGATATAACTATTTAGCACAAGTCAATAAGTTACTAAAGATTTTAAAAGAAACATATATATATATATATATATAAAATTTACAATCCTTCTAAAAATTAAATATCCACTTAATATATATGACATGTTAATTAAGTAAAATGTTTAAAATTTATCTAATTAAGATTATCCGTCAATAAAAAATTCAAATATTAACACAATTTTAAATTTAAAGATCCTTATACTTGTTAAGTTTAAAATTATTAAGTACAAATTTAGTCAAGACTTCTTGTTAATTTGTTGATAAATTCATCTTAACTATTCTATTATAATGGTAACAAAATAAGCTTATCCGTGCTTAAAATTATTTGAACATATAGTTATTAGTTAACACATTTTCATTTGGAAGTAAGTTTTAAACATATAATTAACACTTTTTCATTTTTAAATAAATTTTGAACCCGCGAATAAAGCATAATAGTTTGAATTCAACAATCAATATCTTTTGAACAATATAATTAAAAAAATTAATATTATTTTTCAAAAAATTAAACCAAACCTCTAGTATGTATGAATAATGAAACTAATAAACCAATCAATTATAATATATTGAAATAATTTTTCATTTGACATCTCTTTATCATCCAATAATTTTTTATTATTATTTTGGGTGTTAGATGAAAATAGAGAAAATACTCAAATGACAAGATGCTTATGTAAGAACCTTTTCCATGTATGCTCCTCCATACATGTCTCGACAATCACCAATGTCACACCATGCCATGATAACTTACAGAAACAATTACAATTTCTCATAAAAAATAATTATTAAATATTCTCTAATAATGTAACAACAATAACATATTTAATGTAATTTCATAAGTGAAATATGAAAAAAATAAAATAATAGAGAGACAGAAAAGATGTGCCTTGAAACCCTTAGCTTGATAAAGCCTACCAAATTCATTGAAAGAAAAGAGAGGAAACATATGAACAATGCATTTGTATTTAATTTAATATAAATATCCATAATATGAACCTCTTTACAACAACCACACAATTTCATAAAAATGTAAATCTCAATTTGCTGGAACAATTATTTGACAGTATGAAAGATGCATCATTGTTTATTGTTATATACAATATAATCATCATATTTTTGTTGATTATATAATTTAATGAAATGGAAAAAACTATATATTTCCATAATAGTATAAACATAAAAATAGTAAGGAAGTTAAGATTACCTTATGTCTCTCCAAAGTATTATTTTCTAATAGCAATATTGAAAAGCTAGAAAAGAAAATTGTGAAAAAAATCATGGTTGGATTTGAATTGGGGCTCCTTTTGCTACCGTATTTAAAATAATATTATAATGACTTTTAATTAATCTTAATAAATAATATTAAGGCAAAATATGAAAGGATAATCAGCTTATACACAAATAGAATAAAGAGATGAATTTAATGAAATTGAAGATGGAAATATAAGAAAGTGATATAAATGACTATAATAAAAAAAAAGTTTATACTCTTATTTTCTTGAAAGAACGTGAAAGAAAGAAAAGAAAGATAAGGGTTTTAAAAAAAGTAAAAAAATACATAGAGAAATATAGAGGGTTTAAAAAAAATAGATAAAATTATATATTGTAATTAATTTTTTATTGTCCTTAAATGGTGATTCTCTTTATATACTCACAATATTTTTAATCATTATGTATTTGTGTTAATAATAAAAGTTGCAAATGATTTCATTGTTTCATCCCATAAATACGTAATTATTCTAAATGAAAAATATAATTTTTAATATTATAGAGAATGCCAAAAGTTTCAGATTAGGATATTAGAATATTTTTTCCCGAAAATGGGATCTTTCTTCCGTTTTCAACTATACAATTAATATTTAGAATATTAAATGTGATTATAGAATGTTGAATTAATCTTCATCTTTCCTTAATTATAGTAAAATTGTAAATTAACGTTTATTGTAATCTTTCTCTTTCCTTAATTATAATAAAATTGTAATTAAACCTTTATTGTCCATAAATGGTAATTTTTTTTTCTATTCTTGCAATGCAATTAATGCTTAATATATTGAATGTAATATTAAATCATATTATATTTAGAGTGATGAAAAATTTTAAAAATTGAGAAAATAGATAAATAGAAATCTTGACTTCTAAGAGGTGCCACATCAGCGGTTTCTCATTTAGATTATATATATATATATATATATATATATATATATAGATAGATAGATTTCACTAATAATTTCCTTTATATAATACTATTTACGTTTATATATTTATTTAACTATACAAATTTAGAGTTCATGTAATTTTTCTTGTTTATAATTCAAAATTTTCACAATTATTACTTTAAAATATGAGCATATCAATTTGTTTAATTGATAAAATTAATAGCTTAAACTTTTTGTTATATATCTACACAAAACTTTCATATGAAAGGAATAAAAATTAATATTTCGTAAAAAAATTACTTTAAAAATTAGAAATAATAAATACACAGGAGAGCTCAAATATCAATTTTGTATAGAAACTGAATAAATTATGTAATCCAAACACTACATAAAGATGAAGAAGTTAAAAGCGAATATAATGATTTCATATATCAATATGTGGGTGAGTTTTGATTTTCAATAAAGAATATGAAAAATTTGGACAATAAATTATGATAATAATTGTGAATTTTATTCTTATAAACTAATAAAATAAATAAGAAAACAGGGAAAAATTATCTTTTTTGGCTAGTGCTATATTTTTTACCATCAACTTTAATCATGGGTTCATCATGAAACGTAATAAATATAAATGGATGTTAGATTATTTTTTGAAGAGTTACGCCTTTCCATTTTTAAAATTTATTTAGTGAGAAATTATCTTATTCTTTAATTGAATAATTATGTAAATATTTTTTAGATTATTGAAAATTAGATAAAAAGAGAAATCTCATAATTAGGAGAGTTAAAGGGATGGTTTAACATTTTTCAAGCTATTTGAAATGATATTTCATTAGACTACTCTATTTTAAAAAGTTTTCATTCGTTAAGGAGAAAATGAAAGATTTGAGTGATAAATATTTTTGCCTTTAAATTTACAATAAATAATAGGAATAAGTGAAGTAGTAAAATTTGAGGTATTTAAGTTTTATAATAACTAATAGAAATTAATGAAGGGAATAGTAATTGACACATTTTTAATAGTAATTATAAATAGAAATATAGTGAAAATTACAACAATAAAAAATAAAAATAAATAAATAAGGATTATTGGCCAAAGAGAGGTGTCAAATCATTTTTTTTTAAATATTTTAGCTTTATATAATATACTAGTAAAGAAAGGCCCAACATTAATAAAGTTATCTTGTTACTCTCTCCATCCCATATTATATGAGAATCTTACTAAAAATATTTTTTTCATATTATTTGAGCACTTATTAAATTAGGATAGAATTAATTAATTCTTTTCCATTTTACCCCTACAATTAATATGACCATTCCTATATTGTATGTGTATTTTTTGTAACTCATTTCAATGTACATTGATATAAACAAAGGGCAAAATGGTGAAGTCTTCCAATTTATTAATGATTTCTTAATCACCGTGTAAAGTTGGAAGTGCCCATCTAATATGGGATGAAGGGAGTATAGTTTATGTATTGTTATAAAATTAGTAAAGATTGTTATAATATATTTTGCTCATAAGTGAGCTAATATAGAAACTTATTTGTCATTTATCATTTTAATTTCAATTTTAAATAGAAAATAAATGTAGCGATAAGATTGAAGGTAGAAATGAAGCATATCTTTCTAAATTTAAGTAAAAATAAACAGAGTAGAAGTAACATTAAGGCTATCAATAGGACGATTCATTCAGTTATTTTTAAAAAAATTATATCATTCAATTTTTCGGTTACTTTATAATGTATAACCAAAATTAAAATTTTAAAATCATCCCAATCCTAATTTATGTGACAGAAGCAGTACAAAAATTAGTTTTTT